AGGAGTCCTGGGGTGTTTGCAGTGCCTTTATCTGGGGCCTGCAGTGCGTTTGTCACTCCTCCTGCCTTCACTGAACTGAGTTTTGCTCGGGGGCGTTTCATGGGTGCAGTTTGAGCTCACCAATAAGGGGTGACACTGCTTATAGAGACTGTGTTGTAGGCTACTTAAAATTAGGAAACATTTCCCTTCAGTTTCCTGCAGATGGGCGTCATCTTGGCAAATTTCAAGGCAGAGGCAGACAGAGAGAGGAGTAAGGAGAGTATCTTTTTTTGTTAGTGTGTATTTAAGGATGATGGGTGTGACAGAAGTGATTCGGCCTAAATGTACCTTGACTTCCTTGCTTGAGGGTGGAAGGAGTCTGCTTTTGTATCTATTCAAGGCAAGCATGAGGTAGCGTAGACAGTATTTCTGCTGTTTTAGGGACAAGGAAGAATCTTTTCTGTCCAAAACCGAGTTTTGAAGTCACTCTTGAATAGGAAAACCAAACACCTCCTTTCGAATTTTTTTTTTTAATGTAAGTTATTGGAGCAGAGAGAACACATTCAGAGTTTGATGGTGAGCTTGAGTGTGGAGACTTGGCTCTGTGTGTGTCTGGTAATTTATAGAGGATACTCTTCCTTCTCTGCAAGTCTGTAAGAACCCACATTGTGTGGCTGAGATTTCTTAATCATTTTTTTGCCTTCCTTTTTGTGTGTGGACCAGATAAGTGATTCCACTGAAAAACTGGCAGGAGAATTCCACAGTGTTTTTCCAAATTGCTTTAACACCTTCTGTAAGGAGCAAGTGAGTGACTCAAATCTTAGCTCCTGCAAATAACTCTTCAGCATCCCTGCTGTGCATTGCAGGGGTTGGGTGATATCTTCAGTGAACATGGAGCAAAGTCTTGTCTACAGTGGAAAATTTTGAATGTTTTTAGTTCCTTTTCTAATATGCACAGGTTTGGCAATGCTAAACTATTAAAAGCACTCAAACTTTTGTGAGGTTTTAAGAGGAAAGTATTTTAGACATACAAGTGGATCAAGACAATTTTTAAAACCTCTTGCTTTAAAAGTGCAGGGGCAGCATCATTGTTGTCTTTCACTAATAAATTCCTCCCTAGGAGAGAAATCTCCAAATTGTTACTTGCTCTGTCACATTGTTGGTGACTTGTTTCCCCTATCACTTACATAAACCAGCAGGATAAACAGGCACAGGAAATGACTGGGAATTGTGCATTGTTGGAAGATGATGTTAAGACCCGCTGCTGCGAAAAATACTCAGTCCAACTTTTTCAAGAAGATTTGACTCCTTCTGCTTGTTTTGTCATTTTAAGCATAAAGGATAAGTTTTTCTTGTAACTCTGGAAGGAGAGGTGTGGAATTACATCAGAAAATTTATTTTTCCTTTGAACACTCTTTGCCTGCTGAGTGATTGTGCTGGAATTCCTCTATCAAAAGGGTTTCTCTGTCGACAATTACCATGATCCCTGTCTTCATCCCAGCTTTGAATCCACCGGGCTATTGAATAGGCAAATAAAACCGGCTGGTTGAGGAAGATGAAACCAAGTATCTGCCTGAATTTCTAATTTCATTAGAGGGAAGAAGAGACACGTAGACATCAAGAGGAGGGGATGAATGTTTATGCTCACCCCCCTGCCATGAGTGAATTTGCAGGAGGATCAGCTGAGAGCGAGCCCCAGCCTCGCTGCACGGTCCTTCACCTGCAATGCAGTGCTGGGCAGCTGCAGCTGGGTGCTGGAGGCAAATCCCTCTGCTCCTTCACTCTTGCACAAAGCTTTGCTGCATTTGAGGAGAGCCAGCCCCCGTGCCTGCTGCTGATGTCCCCCTCCTTCCCCAGCACTGAGGTGCCTGACTTTTGATGGCTTTTTCGAAAACTATTGGGCTGTCTTCAGGAATATCTTTATCCATGGGAGGCCGTGCTTCTTGCAGGTAGGTTCCCCTCTCTGATTTTGTCTGGAGAATTTGCAGCTCTTCAGGGAATAAGGACCTTTGGGAGGGTTTCTCTAGATGTGAATTCACATGAATTCCATAGAAGACTTAGCATTTTGCCTTAGCTTTTCTGTTCCACTTTGTTTTTCTTAAGTAAAATGTTGCTGTGTAGTTGTAGAGAGACCCTGCAGATCCTGTTCATTCCGATGATTAATTAGCACAATGAGAGAGCAAAAGGAGAAGGTGATCATGGTGTTCTTCTGTAGATCAGAGGTGGCTAGAAAAGAAAAAACTACCCTAGAACACCTGGGTTTTAATGTGTAAACAATAATTTAGTATAAAATTTTTATGTACTTTATCTGCATTTTGCAATTTTGACAACAGCTGTTTCAGCTGTTATCTAAATACTGGGCATGGATTTTTCTGCTGTCTTTAACAGCCTTTTGTGCCTTTTAGAGTACTGTCTTTGTGAGCAAAGCAGGCAGATGAGGCTTGTGCTTTTGTATATAATTTTTTCTTGGGTATTAATACATGTTCTGCGCTGATTGATTCTCTCCTAATCCCTATCTTGGGCTGACGTGGTCATTTCAGGGGAAGAGCAGGGTGGTGTGTAACAACATCAAACACATTTTCACAGGAAGGCAAAAGAATGAGGTGTATTTTGGAGGTGATTTCATAAAGGAAACAGCACTGTAGAGATGTGTGTGACCTGAATTGAGCTTTTTTACATGAGCTGGTATCATAGACTCCAGTGTAGAAGTGAAATGCTTTTGGATCCCCATGAAAGACTGAGCTGCAGACTCCAGGGTGTGTCGTGTGTGAGGCTGCCAGCAGCAGGATTAGTCAGCCCCTTAGGAGGGGCACAGAAAGCTTCCAGGAGAATGGGCTTTAGTGCTTCCAGTAACTTCTTCCTCCATGCATGGGATTGCTGTTACTGAGAGGCACTGGCACTGCAGGGTGGTGTGATGTGTGTGTCTGCAGCACTGCCACTTCAGGGCAAGTTTCTTTAGAGTCCTCTTTAATCCCTTACATCCTGTGCAGTTAAAGCAGTGAAAATCCCCAAACAGCACTGGGGAGAATTACTCTGTACTACTCAGGCTGTATGTGAGGTTCCTGGCTTAAAATCTCTGTCCAGCTCCTGTTCTCTTTACCCTGTCTATAGGATTTGTTGTCTGTGAGCATCTAATCTCCCCTTCAGCCATTCTGTCTGTGCTCATTTCTTGCCTTTGCTGCCTGCTTTTAATTTGGGGGTAATGTGTGACTTTATTTGTATTTCAATTATCCCAAAAAATGCAGCAATTTTAAAGAAGCTTTTTGACCTCTAAGACTTTCTGCACCCCCTACTGCAGGTTTCCTTCTTCCTACCCCTGACTTATAATTCAGTGACTAAAAAGTCTGAATACTGGATATCTCAGGGCTGGATCAAGCTGCAGTTTCTTAATAGAAGTCTCATGAGCTTGGCAGTTTATGGTTTGAGACCACTAAGCTGTTCCTGAATTTAAAAAAGCCAGCAGGACTCACTGACAGCAGACTGAAGAGAAATGTCTGGTGGTGGGTTGTGCCTGGCAATGACCTTTGTAGCTCTTCCTTGTTTAAATGAACTTGAGTTGTGGATTTTAAGTGACTGCAAAAGTAGTTATCATCGGGTTGGAACACAAGATTTCTCCCTTTTTCTGATGTTTAAGGTGGCTGTAGTTTGAGTGTGTTAGCAGTGTGTTTAATGTGTGAAGTCTCAGCAGAGTAGTGTAGTGGGTCAGTGCTGAACATTCATTCTGCTGTATAACTGTTCCAAATGAAAATATTACATTTTTCCCATGGATTAAGAGGAGTTAGTGCAGCCCTGATGTGACGTGCAGGAGTCAGCTCAGGACTAAGTTGTGAAAATTGCACCTGAGGGCCTGCCTGTGTTGCTGGCATAGCCCCTGGGTGGGCAGTTCTTCCTTCTTGCAGCAAAATGAGCTGAATTTGAAGGAGGGTGCTGAAGGCACCACTGTTATCTGCTGCTTCCCTGCAACAATAGTTTCAATAGAAGAAACTTCCGTGAATTCACTGCTGGGAACTCTCTGTGAGGAATGTTATCTGAGCTTTGTCACTGCTCTAATGAAATTTGCTGCCCACTTCTTTGGGCAACTCCAGCTTTTTTTAATATCTTCTGAGGGAAGGAAACTTAATGTTGATATCTTGCAGTACTTTGCCCTTAAATCCTGCCAAAGCAAGGGGTCTGTAGGCATTGTTTTCATTACAAATGTTTGCTTTGTACAGGGATATCTTGACTCTTTGTAGGCATTTCATTGTTGCCTGTAATGCTTTGTAAAGTAAATAAATTACCTGATTTTGGTATTAGCCTTTCATGAGCTGTTTGGCTGTGATCAGTGTGATGCCATGCCAGAGCTGAGGTGTGGGAGATGTTTTATTTGGGGGGCACAGGCTGTGGGTGAGGGCATGGAGGTGGCCTTTGCTGATGTGGCCTTCACGAGCAAGAACTCAGAGTTGCACATTTGATGGAAAAATAAACACATAAAATGAACGCTTTTATTTATGATTGTGGGAGTGAAAAACCTCCACCACCTTAGTGCCTGATCCAATCCCTCTGCAATCACAAGCTCTCGGGAGGGTTTATGAACATCTGCTCTGTGTCCTCCCACTCTCCCTAGTTCAGACAACTGTAATAAACTTTGGATCTCAAGTGAAGAAATGAGCTGAAAATGCAGCCTGCCCCTTGAGAACAGGAGAAATAAATGTCAGGATTAGGGGCTCTAGGGTTCTCAAGTGTTAGAAGCAGAAGGACTGTTAAATATTCATTTGACCTTGAATATCAAAGGAACAAAGGCCCACAAGTTCTAAAACACTGGTTAACTTTTTCTTTTCCAAAAGAAAGTAAAGACTAATTGATATTCATATTTAAAATAAAATCAATCAATATTTAAATTTTCAAGTTTTACCTAGGATAACAGAATATAAATCTGCTTTAGAGAAAGGCAGAGAAGGGGTTCAGAGGCTAATATTTTGGTAGGATCACTAAGCTTTAAATCTATTTTATCTGTGTCAGAAATGCAGTGTGATCTCTTTCAGACCCGACACCCAGCACCGCAGCCTTGCTGCTCAGTCCGAGAGTGATCTTCCCGAGCAAGAGGAGGAAATCCTGGGATCAGATGATGATGAGCAAGAGGATCCAAATGATTACTGTAAAGGTGAGCATTTGCCTGTTTAAGATGTGTGATTTTCAGTGCAATCAAGGAATCCCCTCCATTTGCCATAGAGAATAAAAATAGACTCCCTCTTACATTAAGAGTACTTTGAAACTGCATATGAAAATAACATTTTTCAAGCCAACATGAAATGGAGAAGGTGGTCTCCAAGTTTCCCTCTGTTAGCAGTCAGGATTTGAGTTACAGAACTGTTTTTAATGCATAAGTTTAAAGCTGTTCTCTTTTCCTCTGTGCCAGAAGGCTTTCAATATTGATAAAAGCAAGTAGGCATTTAATTCTTTTTTTTATTTCAATGTAAAAGGGACAAAAATCCTTTTCATATTCTTTGGGTTTTCTTTTGAAGATCAGATCATTATCCTGATATCCATTCTTCAGAAGAATTTGTTTCTGCAAATAGCCTTCCCCTGTTTCTCTGACCAGAAATGAAATACAGAGCAAATGAAAACACCAAATCACAATTTCTTCTCTTTGTTCTGTTTTCTGCCAGTTCCATCTTTGGCTTTTCATGTTTTTGCTTCTGTGATGGATTTCCCCTGTATAGTCAGTAGCTTGAGAGATATGAAGGGTGCAGAGGAGACTTTGCTGTTTTCAGTGGCAGAGTGATATTTCCAGTTAGGAAAATTGCTGTTTGGATCTTGGTTACCTCTTTCACATTCCAGGCTCAGAGCACACAAAAGCAATGCTGCTATTTAGCTGGAAGATTCTGTTACCATCACAGCCTGTTTTGCAAAGCAGGTGTTTTCACTGGGGAGCTGTTCAGTGGTGCTGCAGTGGTTGTGATGCTTGGGGTGATTGTGATGCTCTGGTTGCTGTGTTTCTCCAGGGGGTTACCACCTTGTGAAAATAGGAGATCTCTTCAATGGACGCTACCACGTCATTCGGAAGCTTGGATGGGGTCACTTCTCCACCGTGTGGCTGGCCTGGGACATCCAGTGAGTGCTCCTGTTGCAGCTGCTGTTCCTGCCAGGCATGCACAAACCTGAGCAGAAAACATCCTTTTATTTTCAGATAAAACCACAAAGCAATTGCTGTCCACATCCCAGAACAGGAGTTTTGTCTGATATTGTGCATGCAAGTGTGTGGGAGGGACTTAACAGGACAAACCTTATCTGTGGGAAGAGTTGTGTTCAGTCTCTGACCTACTTTTCCATATTTTGAGAAATGACTAACACGAATCTTTTGTTAAAAAAAGACTCAAAGGCAGTCTTTTGAGTGTTTAAACCTTATTTTTCCATGATGCATGAAATAAACTCTCTTGCATGCAAAAGAATTGGGATAATCTGGGAGAATAAGTTCTTTGTATGAGCATTAACAGTTCCCAATTTACTTGCCATGTGTGCACAGAGGGAGGAGATTTGTGGCAATGAAGGTGGTGAAGAGTGCAGAGCACTACACAGAAACAGCACTGGATGAAATCAAATTGCTGAAATCGGTGAGTGCCCCAGTTGGGCTCAATTTTATTTTACTCTTTTTTTCCATTTTGGGGAGTTTTCATTTGTCACATGCTTGATATTTCCAGATGATCAGGAATTTGTGTAGGAGCCAAAGAGTGCAGTGGATCTGACATCACAATAACCTCTTTCTCTGCAGGTCCGCAGCAGTGACCCAAATGATCCAAGCAAGGAGAGAGTTGTTCAGTTATTAGATGACTTCAAGATTTCAGGAGTGAATGGTTCCCGTATCCTTTTGTGGAATAAAAGCCAAGAACTGAAAAGATGGGAGTTTCTTGGGCAGCTGCCCTGCTTTGGCAGGCAATGCCCAGGCATCCCTTTTCCTGCCCAAGGAAAGCTGTAGGAGGATCTCCAAACTGCCTGCTGAGCTCACATCCAGGGTGATGGTTCAGTCTGGTGTCATTTGTGTCAGCACTGCCTGCTTGTGCTTTTCATGTTCTGCCACCAGTTTGTGAATCAGGACTGAGTGGCTGTGTCAGAGGTTCCTCTGGGGCAGGAGAGCCCATCTTCCTCAACCCCTCACTTTTGCAAGCAGCCTGTTAAGAACCTGTTGTTTCAGTACAGCATGTTAAAATCAGGAGCTGAAAATAGCACATGAGCCATCTATAACTTTGAAAATAAGCTTGGTTATCAGGTTGTGGAAACATCTTACTTTGTAATTTATCAGCATTGTTAGGATGTTTGCAGTGAATTGCTCTGACAGTGGGAAAAGCCTTCTCACAGGCAGTGATTTGTAACAAGTGCTAATAATGGATCCTCAAAGTTTGAAAGCTGGGCTTTTATGCATTATTTTCACTTTGAGATAAGTTACTTTTTATTTCAGTAAGAATTGCTGGGCTGCTTGAGAGAATTGAGCTGCAGATTATAAAATGTAGACCCATAATGCATTTTCTCTAATTTTTTTTTTCTGAGTAAATGTTGAATTGAGCTTATATTTCTTCCACTCTTGTGAAATGTCTGCTTTCTGCCAGTGTAGATGAAAAGGAGCCTAACAAACTCATAGAAGTTTGGCTTCATTGCACTGAATATGTCACTGGGGTGACTGTAGCTGTTGAGATCTTAAAGCTCAGAAGGAGATCATATAAATCTAGTTGAAATCCAAGCTTGTCAAAAGTTTGTTTTGCTGATAAAGAGGCAAAGGAGGGCAAAGAAAGTGACTTTATTGGTCTGAAGATTACTTATGAAACGGAAATTTTATAATCTTTCCAGGTAATGCTGGTACAGAGAGATCTGGCATCAAGTTTTGCCTGGAGCAGAAGCGTAGGCGGTTCCAAAACATACAGTAAATAATAATAATGTACATTTGTGCAGCTGGCTCCCACTCAAAGCAGGAGGTGGCTACTGCTGCAGTGGCACCTTTGTGCAGCTCCATCCCTCTGTATTTTATTTTATTTTATTTTATTTTAGGTAATGACACTGTTGTGTAGGATAGAATGATGCTATTGAGGAAGGCAGGCTGTGTCAGAAGGATGAGGGTTCTTTAACATAAAGTGCTCAACTGGTTTGGATTTCTTTTCATCCTCAGTCTTGGGAATTTGGGGCTCCTTGGGTCTGGATGTCCAGGTTTTTCCTTGATTCAGTTCCAGATATCTGTATGGTGTTTGAAGTTCTAGGGCATCATCTCCTGAAGTGGATCATCAAGTCAAATTATCAGGGTCTTCCTCTCCCTTGTGTCAAAAAAATCATCAAACAGGTGAGTTCCAGTTCTGACTGCACTCTTCCTCTTGACCCAGTTAAAACTCTTTCACTGATCTTTCTCAGATCCAAGCAAACAAAAGTTAAAAATCTGTGGTATCTCCTTCATGCAACAAAATGTTATTGGGTTAGTACTTCTTTACTGCAAGCTCCTTCTGCTGCAGGTAGTTGTTTTCTGACACACTGTGATGGTTTTTGCTTTTAACCTCTTCCTACCTCAGTCATTCCTCATAAGTGAAGTACTTTTTTAAGCTGTGACAGTAAGCACGGTGCTTAATGATGGGAAGAGCAGGAGGAACTGGTTCTCCCTACTGGGTGGTAGCCTAAAAGAAACACCTTTCCACATGGGAGGTGCAGGGGAGGAGGAAAGTGTGATTTTATTGTAGAGTATTAAAATTAGATTTTCACCTGTGGTAAGTTAAGCTATGAGGGTAAATAAGAGTATTTTAAAATGGTAGCTAAAATCTGTATGCAAATCTGTTATTGTGGAACTGGGCTGTAACCACTGATCACAGCAGCTCTAACCTGGAGCACTCTCACACACACAAACCCTTTCATTGGCCATCCCAGGCACTTTTGCATTTTCACTTTGCTCCCAATTAGATTGTCTAATGGCTGACTTCCTTCTCCCTTGCCTGCAGGTTCTTCAGGGTCTGGATTACCTGCATACCAAGTGTAGAATCATCCACACAGATATAAAGCCTGAGAACATCCTGCTGTGTGTGAATGACCAGTACATCCGCAGGCTGGCTGCAGAGGCAACAGAGTGGCAGAGATCTGGGGCTCCCCCACCATCTGGCTCTGCAGGTGATTCTTATTTTCTTTTTTTTTGCCCTGAAAATTGATGCTGTTTCTCCCACGTACCCCCTAATCATCACTAAGGAAAACTTCCTGAGTATGGTGGAACAATAATGCAAGTAACCTTTGAAAACCTGAGTGGAAATTGGGAAATTAGTCATAAATTGTAATTCAGATGATGGGGAAGGTAGTTTGTGTCAGAAAACAAGAGGGAGGATAAATGCTCACTGGAGGCTGCTTTTAACAGCAGCTATTAGAGAATTCTGTGAATTCTGTAAGCTGGCACTGGTAAATCAGTCTTATGTAGCACAGTGTTGGTGCACTCAATATGGTGCTGGTGTAAAAATGTGGCAAAATTCTCACATTTCCTTCAAAAGTTTATTGCCTTTCATTGCATGATGCTGGAAATGCATTTGGTGAGAGTTTCAACAAGATGAGTTGCCTGTTGTCAGTTTGGAAAACTGTAACAAAACCAGCTGCCTTGACTTGCAAACATCCTTAAAGGTCTGAGGGCAAATTCTCTTGTGCTCCTCCTCAGAATATCCATCTGTAGTTGTGTGTACTTTTCAAAAACCACTGCAGTGTGTATGGGAAGGCTCTGTCAGTCATAATCTTTCAGCACCAACATTGAGCTGAACTGATCACAGCATATCTTAGCTTAAGGAAGCTCCCTTAAGTTTGGTATTGTAATGCTTTGATTTGCATTTCATTTGGGTAGGATGCATAATGCATGCAGTAAATGAAGCTACGTGGCAGGAACTCTTTGATATCAGTCAAGCAAGTCTCCTGTCTGAAACTTGAATTATGCATTTGCTCATTTGATGTTTTTATCATTTTTTTATTGTTGTGTTTTTGTAGAGAAATGAGCCTTCAAAATCACATTTGCTGATATCATTAAAATGTTATCAGATCACATAGGAAAAATGCACCTTAACATCAGAATGCAGTTGCAGTTTTTGAGTGTAGTCATTCTGATTTACTGATCTTCCTTTCCCATTCTGATTTACTGATTTTCCTTTGCCTTTCAGTGAGCACTGCACCACAGCCTAAACCAGTAAGTGTAATATCTTTCACCTGTAAGTATTCATCCTCTGATAGTATCTCCTGCACTGTTTCATAATCCAGGCAGCATTAAGAGAGACCAGTCTCATATCAGAAGGAAAAAATGTGATTTGTGTTTGGCATAGGCATCAGCTTCAATGCTGGTAAATGGTGTTAGTTCATTTATTTAGTTCATTCACCAGAACAAGGAGTTCTTGGGGTGATCTCAAGCTCTGTTGGGAAAGTGACTGTTGTGTGGAGTCTGAGATTTCCCTCACTTGGAGAATAATGTTGTTTTTTCAGGTCAGGGCAAAAATGCTCTGGTAAGAGCTATACACAAGTAGTTCAAAACCCAGAATAGCTGCTTTTTATCTGGGAGAGGAGCTGTCTCCAGCATTTTCATCAGAGACTGTTTCCTCAGCTCTAAGATAAATTAAACCTTGGTGCATTTTAAATTTATTGAAGTATAAAATGTTAAGTCAAATTTCTCTACTTACTTCTGCGTAGGCTGACAAAATGTCAAAGAATAAGAAAAAGAAGTTGAAAAAGAAGCAGAAAAGACAAGCTGAGTTGTTGGAGAAGCGAATGCAAGAGATAGAGGAAATGGAGAAGGAAGCAAACCCTGAGCAGACACAGCCTGAAGAGGAGGAGGAAGCTCAGACTCCAGTGGAAATGCTCATAAAAGTCAGCCCATCAGAGGAAAGCATCAACAAAAAGCCAGGTATGCACCTAAAGCACTGCCAGCATGGCATGGACAGTGTTGTCTCATGGATGTGGGGAGGGTGTTGTACCTTTAGCAGAGGTGGCTGTTGTCATTTCACCTGGGAAATCTCCTGTTGCAGTCTGAGTGAATGGCTGTGTTCAATTCCATTTGCAGAACTCACTCCCATTTGCAGAACTCCCATTTACAGAACTCCCATTTGCTGAACTCCCATTTGCAGAACTCCCTCCCTCTCAGGCTGCCCTTGAACACCTTCCAGCTATTTATTAAGACATATTCTGCTACATTCTCATCTTCCCCTCTTGCAGCAGAAACCCTTGGGCAGGAGGGATCCAATCTCATGGAAAGCAACGTGGAAAAAGAGGCTGCAGAAATCAACTGCAACGGGGTGATGGCCATGACAGAGCTGACAGACTGTGGGAACGAGGGCTGCGTGTGCCTCGAGGACGACCTGCACAACGCCAATGCCCCTGCCAACGCCCCTGCCAATACCCCTGGCACCCAGCACCCTGACAACTTGCACAGCTCCAATTACGCCCAGCACAACAATGACTCAGAGCTCGGGCCCCAGGAAGCAGTGTTGGACTTGTTTGTGCCCTTGGCTCCAGAGGATTCCATGGTGTGCCAGCCCGTGCCCAGCCAGGAGCAGGCACTGAGCGAGCAGGGCATCAACAATTTTCATCAGGAAAGCATCAGGACAGAGATCCCTTCAGAGGATGAGAATGAGACTAACAGCCCCACAGACAACAAAGGTATAGGAGGGACCTTGTAAGAAAGGGCTCCTTGATATGGGAGACTTCAACACTTCATCATTTGAACAAAAATGTGAATTTTGTAGGCTGAAGTGATCAGAACCATCCATTTGAGAGTTTTCCAGCCAGGAGTAATTAACCTGACAATCATACTCCAAGTTGTTTGCTGTTTGTAGGTGCTGGTTGTAGCTGTGCCTGGTTTGACTTTGATTGCTTAAAGATTCCTACTTTTTAAAAACACCTATGCCTTTGGTTTCCAGTGCAGGAACATTTCCTCCTTTGAATCAGGTGCTGCTTATATGATTTTCATTAAGCTTACAGATTGTCACTTGCTGTTAAATTAAGGATAGGTTTGATCAGTGTGTTCTGACAGTTTGGTTCCTAACATGGAGCAAAGGTAACCTCTCTCTGTTATTCAAGAAAGGTAAATGTTTTCCCATTTAAAAACAAAGCTTATACAGTGTTGGGAAAGAAACCAAATTTCTTCAATGCTTTTATTTAAATACGATTTTCTTCGGAGTGGAAAAATTGTGTCTTGTAAGCTTAGGAGAAAATAAGGCATGAAATAGTGTACAGCAATTTAAACACATTCCAGGTGGGTGTATGTGTTAAAAATATGAACTGGTAAAACTGTCCATTTTTGCATCTTTGTGTCCTTGCCAGGTGATAAATATCTGCTTGGAGAAGGAGGGTAAAACTACCATTTGTACTTACTAAGAAAAAGTATTCTAGCATTTTCTTGCCCACAGTACCACTAGGGGAGTTACATGGATGAAAAGTAACAAGAGAAATTTGAATTTTGAAACTTGAACTGCACTTTGCTGAATGCCTCTGCTAGGTTACTGACATCTTTTGCTTCTCACAGCCCTCTCCCAAATTCACAGCTTCAAACTCTCCCAAATTTTTGGTTCAGAGGTACAACTGGATGCCATTTAGTGACTTAATACTTTTGTTCTCCATTGTGTCACTCCATTTTCCCAGTATTTCCTTTAGCTCTTGTAATTGTGTTGCAGCAGTGAGTGAAGGGTATGTCAGAAAGATGCTGTAACTTGGGGACCCTTCCTTCAAAAATTTAGGAAGGCTTAAGGGGGGTTGTGAGGTTTGTTTTGTTTTTGGCAGTGCCCTTATTTCAACAAGTTTTTGATTTTTTTAAATATAGACAGACTGTGCTGGGAAATAGTCAGTGTTGCATATGCTCATTTATCCTTCTGCTTAATGACACCAGTTGGGCCTTAATGATGTTGTTGATAGAGCAGAGTGATGCTCATTTTCTACCCAGGCATCAGGGAGGGAACAGCTCTGATCCATCAGGAAAACTTCCTGGCTGGGGAGAGCTTGGTGGGATTTGGGTGACAGATGGTGACACTGCCTATGGAGCTTTAATCAGCTGTTGTACACATTGCCTCTAGGAAAATCAGCTGCTGGGAATTTCCTTCTTAATCCCCTTGAGCCCAAGAATGCAGATAAGCTCAAAGTGAAGATAGCTGACCTAGGAAATGCCTGCTGGGTGGTAAGTTTGGTCTTTTCACATGGACTTTTTAAAGCTGCAGATTCAGTCACTTTGCCAAGATGGAAAATAATCTGTAAAACACATCCTTAGAGCTGGCTGTGAAAGCAGTGACAGTTTGAAACTGTGACAGGGAAAAAAGAAGGGAAGCAGGGACACAAATGAAGAACTGATCCTCTAAACACAAGATTTCAGGCCATGCTCTGGGTGCCTCACTGGCATTTGGTTACTGCTTACAGGGCTGTGAGCTATGTCACACACAGGGCATAGAAATCTGCTGTGTGGAACTGCTGAAGGAGTTTCTGAGTCTCCAGAAGAGCCTAAAAAGTTGCAAACAATTGCTCTGATGTGCTGGTTCTGGAGCTTGTCAGACCATTGCACGTGAAAGAGATTCACACAGTAAAACTCCCAAGTTTTATTCTTTGATGGTTGTGCTGTGCTGCTTTCAAATGTTTGATATTTCAAACAGAAGAAATATCTCTTTTTACTTGGCTTCTAAAATGGCAAATCACTTCAGGTCTGTTGGGAGAGATGAGTCTGAGCTCAGAATGGCAGTCAGGCTTGCAGTGCCTGGCAAGGTGATTTCTCACCTTCTCTGCTCTAAGGTGGCAGCACCATGGCCTGTCTGCCAGGGCTGGGTAGGAGATGCTGCAGAATCTTCCTTTATTCTGCTTTTGTGGCTTGCTTTCCTCTGAATTGCTGGACTGTTCCCCTTGGAGGAGGAATGTACAGCGTCTTAACAGCACTTACAGAATATAAGGAAATAGGATGTAAAATCAGCTGAAATGTAATAGCAATGAGCTTTGATCCACTCCAGCCTTGCAGCTTGTTGATTCTCCTCTTCCAAGCAGTGTTGAGCTGTTAATCAAACATTTCTTCTCTTTAGCACAAGCATTTCACTGAGGACATCCAGACCAGGCAGTACAGGTCGCTGGAGGTGCTGATAGGGTCGGGGTACAACACCCCTGCAGACATCTGGAGCACAGCCTGCATGGTGAGTCCTGCTCTGCCCTGAGCTGCTGGGCCACTGGCCAAAATCCCTTACAGGTGTTCAGCCACCTTCTGGACTTGTTGAATAATAGGTTTCCACATCACAGTTGTTTTGTAAATTTATCTTTTTTTTTCTCCACATGTGGCTTTCCTTTTGAAGGTTTTGTTGTCCAGCATCAGCAGATTTCAAATATGATTGTAGTTTGCCGTCATGCTTTCTGGAAAAACAGGACAACCAGGCAATTCTGAACACAATGTCTTTTTATATTAAAAAAAAAAAAGCCTTTCTGCTGCATCTAGCACTGTTTCACAGTGCTTTCAGTAGCATTTCTAATTTTAATTATCCTCTGCAGGTTTGGAATTGATGTTTAGTCTGAGTAATGCTGAGATGAGGAAGAAGCTGTTCCTTTGTTCCTTTAACAGCTGCCAAATGCAGAATATGACAATGAAAAAATCAGTCAAGCCAGTTACTGCTTGTGTCTTTTCAGTGTCCCCACTCTGTCTCTTCTACAAATCAAAGCTTGGGTTTTATAATTTAAGCTTGGAAAAATAGACATTTTTGCTGTCTTGGAAAACAAGCTGGGGTTTAGATGAATGAGGTAAAAGAAAATGCAGAAGGGTGATGTTTTCTGTGCAGAGCATGTGGCCAGAATTACACAGTGTGCCTGATGCCACTGTTTGGCACCAGCAGCTCTTAAAGAAAATTGAGAATACAGAAGGTCAGGGGTGGTACAAGTGCAGTTGTGCTGAAGGTCAGTTCTGAGTACAGGTGAACACATGAGGGGTGAATGTGTTACAGAATTTAGGAGTGCTGAGTTGAGATGAGTGCAGATGTTTTTCTCATTTCAAATGTGTTTTCATCTCTGCAGACAGATGTTCAGAGATTAACTGTTTGAAAAGCATGGGAAAATTGGGGAGAGGGAACAATCCCAAAAAACCCCAAGCAAAACAAAGCAAAATAACCAACCCCAGAAACTATAGTTTGGACATGGTGTTATTTTTGCAAAACTCTGAAGAGGAAAGGCTGAGCATGTGAAATACCTTAACTTTGTGGTTAACTGGTGGCCCTGCACCCAAAATTCATCCCAGGTGTGCCTGTGATGCTTTTAATGCAGTTTTGAAGCATTGCAAGGTCACTGCCCAGTTCAGGCTGTGATGGAATATTTAGGATTATAGCTCTTTACTGTAGTTTTGCAGGGTATTCTTTCCCACTGCTTTGCTTCTGGCCCACAGAGATTTGCAGAGTCAACCTGCAGCACATCTTAGAGTGTTTTGAAGTGATTTAATGTGCTCATTTCTGTTTGTTTAGGCCTTTGAGTTGGCAACAGGGGACTATCTGTTCGAGCCTCACTCTGGGGAAGATTACTCACGAGATGAAGGTTTGTTTAGCTCAGTTTTTCCTTTTTAAAGTGGGACTTGAAATCCAATGGTTGCCTCTTCAAAGTGAGCCTTGCCTTACAAATCAGCAATGCAAAAGCTGCTTGCAAAAAGATTATTTAGCCAAATGAGCAGCAGCTGTGCTCAAGCTTCTGCAGTAAAACACTGCAATGAACTCCATGCTCTTGTTCTGGTGTTTTGCATTCCCCTTGCTGCTGGATTCTCTACATTGTGTCTCAAACTGATTATACCTCACATTGCCCATATTTATTTTCCCCTTGCTCCTTGTCTTTGTTGTTACTTGTGTAAACTGGTTTCAGGTGGATCTCCAAAGTAATTTTTAAAGGATAGTGTCTTTATCCTTATATCCCAGCATAGAAAGATATCCTTGTATCCCAATTAGCATAGAGAGGTTTTGTGTGGATGAATCTCATTGTCTTTTTGGTTTTTTTTTTTTTATTTTTCTCATGCAGATCACATTGCATTGATCATAGAACTCCTGGGGAAAATACCTCGCAAGCTCATTTTGGCAGGAAAATATTCCAAGGAGTTTTTCACCAAAAAAGGTAAAAGGAAACAAAGCAAATATCACATTATCCCCTCATCCCTTGCCCAAATACACAGGAGTGTCTTGCTGGAAATGCCTGTTAGAAATAGATGCCAGCAAAGATGGCATCTTTGGGTCTTTCCTTTGTTTTATGAAATGCTTTATCAGTAAAACTGCAGCTGAATGTAAGGCACCTTAAGTAGTGCCTGGCCTCATGAGCCGTGTTGCTCAGAGCACAGAACATTATCCTCAAGTCCTGAGTACCCCAGAAATGCACTGAGTCAAAAAAATTAGGTTTTGACCTAGTTTAATAACTCTGTTTATAAAAACAAGCCCTTCTTTATTAGCAGTGTGTTGCTTTCTCAGACAGGCTCCAGGCATTGCATGTACCCCAGAGTCAGTGCACAGTTTATCTGTCATGTCAAGCAGCTTAATTGGGGATTTAATGGAGTTAATATTTGCTGATAGGGGATATGAAATAGCAGGAGGTGAAAAAAGAGCCCTTTGAGGAAGTGCATTTCTACAACAGGCTTCCAAAGCACATAGAAAAGGGGGTTTAATATAATTGACTTTTCCCTTCAGCATCTCTAGCAGTTTGTATCTCCTTAGAGCAGTCCCTGAGCTCACCCTGTCATGTTTGGCTGTTTTACTGAGCTGCTGTGTTCCTGTATCTTACACTTAAGCCATTTGTCTTGGCTTTTCAGGTGATCTGAAGCACATCACCAAACTGAAGCCCTGGGGCCTTTTTGAAGTGCTGGTGGAAAAATACGATTGGGCCCAAGATGAGGCAGCTGGATTCACAGACTTCTTACTCCCTATGCTGGAGCTGATCCCAGAGAAACGAGCTACAGCAGCAGAATGTCTCAGGCACCCCTGGCTTAACTCCTAGAAGCTTCCAAGCAATGCCACAACGTTAAACTCTGGTTTACAGCATAGCCTACACACCCAGCTGCCCTTTCCCAGATCCATTTTTCTCCTTGTTCACTTTCAGTGTGGAGTTCTTCCTTCAAGGCTTCCAAGATTTTAGATAAATCTAAACCTGTTCTGCTGAGTTTGTTTGTGTGACTTAATGGGGACTCTCCTCAGCCAGTGGGCATCATCTGTGTTTTTGCCTTGGTTGGGCTTCACCAAAGACTATTTGACTAGAATAAGAGATTTTTCCTCAGTCTCCTCACTGTAAAGCACCGTGTGTGACAGATGTGAGCTCACCCTGCTCAGATATCTCCCTTAGCTAAATTCCAACTCTCCTTCCTTCCTTCCTTCCCATGAAGATCTCACTGACTCAGGAGTCAATTTTCCCACTGTTGATCAGTAGCTACTGATGGGGTGAGAAGTAACAGTTGGCATCAAGGTGCTGCCAGATCCTTGGTAGAGCAAAGACCTTGAAATCCTCCATCACTCTCTAGGTGTCTACTGTATTCTGTGTTCTTTGCTTTCCACTCAGAAACGTTTATTTAGTCCTAGCTGCTTTTGGAAGAGCTTTTTAAACCTAGGTTTTAGTATGCTTTATTTCTCCCTCCAAAGTGCCCTGTTCATTTACATTTTCTCCTCCCCAGTGCCCTTGATAGTTGGAATAGTTTCTGGATTTGGTGATGTTTTCTACTCCAACACCTGTGACTAACAGGTGACAGCGAAATCAGCAGCAGCTGGAGCTGACTCAACGCACAACCCTCAGCCTGCAGAGAGAGCCTCATTGCAGGCACCTCTCAACTCTTAATTATAGTGAGCCATACATTTTTGGGGGTTTCTATCCCTTACTGGCACTTTTTTTGCCTTGCTTGACGTGGTATTCATGAGAGATTGGCTTTCACTGATGCAGTCTGCTCTGACTTTTCATTTTTGACCATTCACTTTTTTTTTTTTCCCCAAGGGAAGGGATGCAGTGCCTGTATCACAGCCATGCTGCAGCCCCGCACTTTGAAAATCAACACTTGAAATTCCAGTGGAAAGATTTCTTTTAATTTGCTTCAGGTGCAGGCCTTCAGAAATAACTTCCCAGGATGGGAGTGCCTTTTATTTTCTGGGCCTTTAGCACAAGAAGAGAGCTAGCAGAAGTGGAAGAGAAGTGACTTTTCCACATAGATGCTGGATTAGAAGCTGTTTCTAGAGTTACCCCGAGTAAGAAATGGTCTATGGGGTTTCTATGTAAACTTCTCAGAGGGGGTTTGGATATAATGGGTTAAATGGATTAATTTTAATTAGAAGTTAAATGACTGTGGCATTTAATAGTTCTGTGATGGCTTCTTCTAGACCTGCCCATCCTGTTACAGATTTCAGTGCATCCCACTGTTGTCTAAGCAAGATTTGGCAGCATTGAGACTTCAGAGTCACTTCCTCGCTCTGGACCAAACAAGAGAGGCTTTGGATTGTGGTGGCTTGCAGAGGGTAGAGGTTGCTGGAGACCATGCAGACGCTATCCAAGACCATTTCCATTGCCAGAGCTGCCAGGACCACTGTTCTGTGTCACTTGTGTGTGTGTGTGTTTGGGAATTGTGGTTCATGAGGATCATTCACTCACAAACCAGGTCGTTTAATCCACTTGAAGAGTTTCTCCAGTTCAGAGCCTGATTTGGCTTATTTATGCAAATCATGCTGCATGTTCCTTTAGTGGTAGATCAGGTTCTCTATGCATATAATAAAAAAAAGACAGGTAACATACCAAAAAGTGTTTTAAACTGCTGAGTTAACTTTTTCCTTTGGTTTTTTTTTTTTTTTCCCCTTTTATCTGGCATTTTCCAGTTGTGGGTCACTTCTGTACCTGTTACAGGAGCACTGCAGGCAGGAGTGGGTTCCAGCTGACTGAAGATCACTTTGGCAGGGCAAACAATTCCTGTGGTGCTGAAAGCTCAAACCCAGTCGTGCCTGCTCGAGCCTGGCTGATGAAGGAACATTTCCCACAGGGGTCTGCACTCTTTGACTCTTGAAAGCCCCTGCCCATCCTTCCTTCCCTTCCCTTCCCTTGCCAGCCCTGACTGGATGAGGGGTTTTTACCACGATAGCCAAGCCAGTGAGGGGAAGCCCTGCAGAAATCATGATTTCATGGTTCAGTCTTGTACTCTCTGCTCGTTCACTTGGGGTCTGTTCATTTCCAAATTGCTGTGACATGCTCACACTAAAGGATTTGTACTTGTGTCAGTCTAAAACCTGAAGGAAAATACATTTTTATTCTTTCTACTTGGGTGCTTTGTCTTTTTTTTTTTTTTTGTTTTCTCCTTTGTGAAAGCCCTGCAATAAACAGATTATTTAATAACTGAGCCCTGGTTTTCATACATTCCCCTTGTAATTCTGTTCTGAGTCAGGGGCTTAGGGATGGAATTTGCTTCACTAGTGAACATTCAGCTTTGATTTCCAGAATGAGATAGATTTTGTTGCTGGTGTTGTGATCCATTTTAAAAAGGGGAGAAGAGTAAAAAATAGAACTGCTGGAATTTTTCCATTCTAAAATACAGAGGGTTTCCTCTGCCCTCAGGAGAAAAGCACAAAACCCAAAACACTGATATTTTGGTGGTTTGGTATTATTTTTGTTTTTTTTTTTTTTTATTGATAAATAATTTCCTTGAAAGAATGTGTACAAACCCCCCAAAAAGCAGCAAATTGCCATCCTTGCCCTCTTGTCCCTCTTGCTGATGGACTCAGAAAAACTCATAATGTCCATTTTGGGCTCTTTTCACCAAATAAGCTCCACAAGAGCTGTGAGCCAAGAGCAGCCCCATGGGTGAAGAAAACAGCTGTAGAAAATCCACGGAATTTGGGAAGTTTAAGCTTCCTAGAAGAGTCCCTTCAAAGAAAAGGGCTGATGGAAGAAGAGCTCTGGATGTCCCTGGGAACAGAAAGAGTAGGGCAGCTGTTGGGAAATGGAGTTTGACTTCAAATTTTATGCTTTTTTTATTTCGCATTGGCAATGGTTTGTGCTTTCCCAGTTTTGGGAGGCAAAGCAAAGATAATTTCTTCTTTAAGCACAAATAAAACCAATGTGACTCCAGCACCAAAATCAGCTGTCAATGCTTTGGTAATCAGAATAAAACAGTGACATGGTGGATGCTGGGAATATTAAAAATCTGTGTGGGTTATCACTTACATGGTGATCAGCTCTGTCAGTCATTTCCCTCTTCTGTAAAACAAAAAGAGAATTGCAGAGTTAGTGTGTAAAACTGCAAGGATGAGTCTGTTTTGCAGGTTTGTTTTCAAAAAGGAAGATGTTTAAAATGAGAAGAAAGCCCCGGAGGCCTGGGAAATGTAATTGGGTGGATTTGGGCTCCTGCCTTGTTCTCCATCAGTTTTGTGCTGCTGGAGCAGTGACTGTGCAGGGATGGAGCCGCCCAGCAGCAGCAGTGACCTCGATGCCTTAAGGTTGGGCTTCCATGTTTTCCAGATTCTGCAGTGCATTGCTATTTAACTCTGAATTTCATATAAAGCATTAGCAGGATCTCCTCACAGCTCAGTCACACAAAATAATCCTTTTCCAGCCCCAGGACCAAGGACACTCCTGCAGCTTTGGGCCCAAAAAGTGCAAAGAGCAGGGAATGGAGAAGGACGGGACTGCAGAACCCGGGGCTGGAACGGGACAATGAAGCCCAGCATGGAAATGGAGCAGAACTGATCAAAGAGTGAGAACTCTGAGAGCAGCTTGGGTGGGGCACAGCCGGGCTCTGGTACTGCCCAAGGGGCAGCCTTTGAAAGGCCTATATATATTTATTAAATTTCCTCTTATTAAATATTATTTCAATAAATAATACTGATAATATAATAAAATTAAAGAATTATATTAAATAATAATTATAATAAATAATTACATGAAATAATAATTATATCAAATATTATAACTAATAATATAATAAAAATATAATTTAATAAATATTTATTTTAAATCCTACGTTATTCCTTTAACTCTATGATTACTATATTAAATAATAATTATATTAAATAATTACATTAAATAATATTTATATTAAATAATTATATTAATATAATTAATAATATACTTAAAATATTATTTTAATAAATATTTATTTTAAATCCTACTTTATTTCTTTAACTTCTGCATGATTACTATATTAAATAATAATTATATTAAATACTATAACTTATAATATAATTAAAATATTATTTTAATTAATATTTATTTTAAATCCTACATTATTCCTTTAACTCTGTATGATTATTATATTAAATAAATTTTATATGAAAAAATAATTACATTAAATAATAATTATATTAGATACTATAATTAATAATATAATTAAAATATTATTTTAATAAATATTTATTTTAAATCCTACTTTATTCCTTTAACCTCTGCATGATTATTATATTAAATAATAATTATATTAAATACTATAACTTATAAT